GTTCACTCCAAGTTTAATTCCCAAACAACAGACAGTAAAAGCAGGTTTTGTTTGGACCTCATCAATACACTACAAATCCTCATGGAGGGGTGTGGTGGGTTGGAGCATGTTTGCTGTGGAGTGAATCCACGTGCGCTATGAATATAAGTGGTTAATCCACCATCCACTAAAAGCCTCAGTTAGGATTTCATTTTCAGTTTTACCCCAAACCTTAATGCTGTGTGCTTTTTATTTGGTACTTACAGTGTGAAAACACAGTGAAATAGTCTGACAGAGCCTTTTAGAAGATGCAGGTGTTCTACCTCTCCACTAATTCAAGTGAGTGTACAGTTTTTTTTTAATCCCACAAGCCTTTGCCAGTTATTCTTCTTGATTTCCATACTTATTTGCAATTTGACACATAAAGACACCTACGTGTACATTTGCTTATTCAGGTAATACTGCAAACAGTATAGGACATTTAGTATTAGTCACAGCCTTCCTTGACACACAAAATTCACAACATTCAGGCCTGGGGCTGTATTGTGCCTGGAGTGCTTTCCCATTGTATAACACCGCTCAGGTCTCACGAAAAGCAGGCCGAGATCCCCTGGAGGACAGAGCAGAGACAATAAATGACAGTGACTCTACCCTGTCATGTCCTATCGCCTTTGACTGGCTTACAATAACAGCTGCATTAAGCAAGGTTTATAGATGTGTGTGGGATTTAGGAAATATCTAAATATCTACATCAACAACTCTGAGGCACTGTAGTGTGTTGTTCCCTACAGTAAATCTTTACAGCTCACCATGTGCACCCACACTTCGGCAGCTTGGAGTTTTATTTAGGCAAGGGTTTCTGAGACACACGCCATTTTCACACAGCTCCTGTTGTTGCAGTTGCAGAAAGTGACATCCTTTTTAAATCCATTATCCATTCTTAAGGGTCTATTAGATTTACATAGACTCAGAGCATGCCAGGCTAAGCCACTTCTGGCTTTTATTACAGCATTTTACACACAAGGGAACCGCTCTGTGCTGCATACAGACACCATTTTAGGCAGAATTCCAAAGTACTTCAGAAATAGATGCTGTCAGGGGGATTTCCTACACCTGTACAGCAAAGCCCTGAAATAAAAAAAATATTGGTAAATCAGAAAATCCCTCAAGAGGAAAGGAAAATAGAAAATATGGGAAACACAGTTGAAAGAAAATTAATGGAGCATTTAAGGGATGTTTCCAATTGCAGCTGTGGCCTTAATATTTAATTCTTTCCTTTTTATAGTCATACGACATACTGTATGGGCAGTCCTAATGTACTGTAGCAAAGGATTTATAAAACTGTACAACACGGCCAAATTGAAGGTCCAGGACATGGTATCCACTGCAACAAATAATGTTAACCATAAGAAATAGAACACTTCAACTGAAACAACAGAAAGCCAAAGAATATAAGCTACAGGATTTACAGAGGAGAGGAGTAAACAGCAGGAACATGTACAGGAGGTATCAAATGCTTCTTTCAGCAGCCTTCTGAATGACTCAGGTGCACGATACAGCTTAAGTAAACAAAGGGATGTACAGTAGCTGAGAGGTGGGTTGAAAAAGAGTTCTAGTTCTTTCTGGCTCACACATTGTTACACTTAGAGTGAAATAATAGGAGCACTGCCTTTCATAAAGATACAAACCTCTGTTTTGTTTCACAATTGATACCAAACCACATTTATCTGTAATATTTATTTACTATTTACAGGCCCCAGGGAAAAGTATGAGCAGTACATAAAGTGTCTCTAAGCACACCACAAGCACCAATTTGGCAACAAATAATATAGCATCTGCGTGTATCAATGTGGCAGGAATACTAAAACACTACAGAGCGTATAACACAGGAGTGCATTGCATATGCTCTTAGCTGATTTATTTTGGTTTGTTTCTTGCTCATTTGCTTCTCGCACTTAATTTTTTAGAAATAAACATTCATAGAATTTTGAACCTGTTCATGTTCACCTGCACATTGTTCACTCATCTATTCAGATCACCAATGCGAACAGACACTGAGGGCGAATGAGTCGGGGGTTCAATGGGTAAGGTCTTCAAAAGGAAGCTAGACAGTTAAAGAACTGCGCCTTTTGGAATAAAACCGAATCGCTCAGACATGAAAATGTGGGGGTGGGTGAGAAAAGGAATATAAAACAAAGACCTACAGAATAATTGCAGCCAAACTTCAAGTGTCACAAAAAACTGCAAATATTTTCTGTTTTTATCTTTTGCGTTTTGCTGTCTAAGTCTGATCTATTTACTGTGGAGCTCTCTGACTGATATTTATTTTAATAATGTTTGTACCACGCATTTAGTTGATGTTTATTTCAATCCTCAGTGGGTTTCTTTAGTTTCACAGACAGAAGAAAATGACCTAAGTGACATGTCTCTTTCTGGGCCATCTCAGACAAATACCTGAACTTTTCCTTGCTCTACAAAGTCCTTAAGTGCCAGAGATCTGGACACTGGTACAGTACATTTTAAAGTTTTCTCAACAAACCTGTGAACTATAAAGCCCGCTGAAGCTTGTGGTGACAGTTATTTTCATTTTATCACCAGGTAAAGTTTAAAGCCTTCAACTTTGCATTGCCATCCATCCCTCTGGCCTATTTAAAGATGCCACTTTACGGGTTATGCAAATTGTTCCTGGTTTAATCGGCTAATTTGCATAGGCACTAAGGTAGAGTATGTAAACTACATGATTTCTTTGCAATTATCCCTCCATGAGCCGGTGTTTCAAATGACATCTCAGGCTCCTGTTACCGTGGTAAAGGGCTTTGTTTTAAACAGTACAACCCTTTTAGCAAATTACAGAGAGCAGCTGTTCCAAAAGTGCACCTGTCTTCCTGGATGAATGTGGCTTCTTGAGCAAACAGGGCACATGACAGTCACATCATCCCTGGGCCTGCGCTTTACACCACACACAGAGAAACAATATGTAAAATGTAAAATGTAAATAAGGAACACCTTAGTAATTTAAAGGCAAAAGAATTCTGCCTGTGAGGTGTTTTGTTTTACATTTGTTAATTTATCGGTTCTCAAAGTACTTTATTTTTACCAGGGCTCATTGAGCCATTCTTTCCATTAGCTTTGCCATCTCTCCCCTGTTCGTTTTTTAACACAAATGTCAAATTGATCGTTTCATCTTGGTACTACCGGCATTGTCACCATAAGCATATAACATTGAGGTTTCGGGTATTCAACAAACAGGGGGAGAAGCCTACTTTGACTCCACTGATAGAAATCCAACACTAGCAGAGCTGGTCCTAATTCCTTGGAGCTTGAAATCCTCTACTATAAATTCATGAACAGAAAGTCATAGAAAAACTGTTTTTGAGCATTACTGCTTAGCATGACAAGCCTAAGGGAAATGAGTATTGGTACAATGTACACACATGATGTACTGGTAATTGGTTTGATTATATGCAGTTGTAACAACATCAAATTTGCCAGTAGTAGCTGCAAGATAAAGTAATACAGAGCTCCTGTAAATAAGCAGGAAAAATGGATTTCGCAAATCAGATGTCTGACATGCTTGCTTAAAGTTTTCAGTCCTGTGTCACAGTTTTTTGTAATAACTCATAGGGTTAGTATTGTCCGTATTCTGAAGAGTTTTCCAGAATTCCCCTTTTACTGAATAGATTCACATTTCCATATAACTCAATAACCCATTAAAGAAGTCAACTATAATTCTTTTTCCGTCTCATGAGAGCACAATTAATTTAGAAGCATAAGAATCTCTTTGAACAGATTTCAGTGGACCATGTGACTTCCTTTGAGTTCAGTTTAGATACTTTTAGTTAGAGGTAGCATTGACTTTCAGAAGCATCTTTGTGGAATAGTATTAATACTGCATACATTTAAAGCAACTTTTAAGCACATCCTTGTGCAAAATTCTACAAGCCTAATACCTGAATCACAGCTTATTGTTTTGAAACACAGAAGACACTACCTTCTTCCATCCAGAAAACTAGGGGGTGTACATTTACAGCAGAACAGAGATCACATTAATCAGACATTTAATATTTATTAGTGCCAAATGAACACTAGCCGAGCAGAGATGAAGGCTTTTACGGTATTGTGGCGAGTGAAGTAACAGGGTTTGTTCTCAGACTATTAAATACAGTGAAGCTGCATCAAAAACACATAAGGAAGGTGCCTAGTAGAGACACCTTATTCATTTTTTTTTAATTAAACACCTGACCAGTTTCTTTTTTCTGAAACCACGAAGGAAGCTTCTCTTGATGCACTGCCACCAACCTCCTCCATTTATCATGCCAAACATCATGAATGCTGGTAGTCCAGTAGCTGGGTGAATTATATATTGCAGTTACTGTATACATGCCCCCTGTGCGATGAAAATAAGAGGTCAAAAAGCCTTCAGAATACTCCAGGACACTGATGAAACCGTTTCACTGATCAATTTTAAGCACTTTCTAAAGTGTAAAGATAATTCACGAGTCTCATTTGTCATTAATCATTATTTTCAAAATGGAGAATTTGAAGGAATGACTTTTCTATTTTAACTGTTTTTCATTATATGACCCTGCAGGTATTATATAACACATGGTAATGTTTCGGTTAGTTTTCAGTTTATTCAGCGGCAGAGCAGGTCTTTCCTATTACTTCACCGACATCCTGTTATCCTGTTCCGGCATATATAACCCGCATATATAACCAGTTTCGCCAAACCAAATTGCAGCACCTGTTGGCTCCGTGTTTACCCGGATACTTAGAGGAAAGGGACAGGACGTGACTGGAGTTCAACATAAAATAAAATCGTCATCGATGACCAGCACAGCAACATGTGCTGCTTATTGTCCACGTCCGTCTCGAGCAAATAAACTTTTTGATTAGCTCCAAATAATAAATAAAACGAAGATCTTGCACAGGTTCTTTTCCGTTCTCTCTCAGTAATAGATTTGCTCATTTGCAGGGTTCTGAAATGAGTTTTTTTTTTGTCAAAGGAAATAAAAACTCACCTTTATCTTATGCAGGGATTTTTCCTCCTCTAAAATCTGGATCCACACACTAATCCCGGATTTGTTGTATGTCAAATTCCATCCATCTTCAGAGTTACATTCATTTTTAAAATTACTGAACGCTCGGTCGTCCGGTATTAAGACAGCGTCCCCAGCCATCTTAAGTGACCAAATGAAATGAATCCAAAACTTTAAACCTTACCGGAAAAAGTCCAGTTAATATTAATACTGGATATTAAGACAGATGTTCTGGATCTAGTGAGAAGCGAAATCAAATCAAAGCAAATGCACGAAAAAGAAACACCCCCTGCTTTTAAACAGTGCAAGAGGCAATTGGAGATTGGTTGAAAACATATAAATTTCTATTTAATTTCGTTGTTCGTTTGCAGTTGCAAAGAATAAACGCACACCTGTTTGACTAGAATAGGTCTTAAAAAAAAAGTGAGCAGTGACCAGGAAAAGCAATGTGAATGTGGACTTTTTTTAAGAAAGCGAAAAGATACTACATTGAAAACAAATTAGATTCCTCTTGTTTTCTTTAAGGCTGAATGTCACCAGCACCTCCAATTAATGGCTATAACTGTCCTCCCTGCGTAATTTAAAGACGAAAAACAACAGCAAAACCCAATGCCAGCTGTTCAAGGGCGGTTGTGCGTCTGGCAATTCAGAAGACCTATGTCCTGTTGTGAGGTATTCTGAGTCGATTCAGAGAATGCCCTTGGTTACGCTCACTCCCCTCGGCGGCTGCAGCGGGTTAATGATGCGAAGTGACTCAGGTTGGTTACAGAGGTTGGTGGCAGGAGCACCTCGCAGAGAGACGTGTGGGAGATTGGCAGCTGGATCCACCCACTCGTTCGCTGCACATACACCTCCCTGTCTCGGGGAAAAAAAAGCACTCCGGGTCCTAACAGCTGACGGGTATAACACACCTTCTTTCTCCTTCTTGTTCTCTTGGTCTTTTTCTTTTACGCACTCCGTTCATATAGCATCGTGATGTATTTGTATTTTGAAAGTAATTATATTGTGCGCTTACATACGCTATGAGCTTCATTTAACCGTTGACAGATGAAGTCAATGAGCTCCGGTCGCTTGAGACGTTGAGGGGGGAAGGAGAGGGGAAACGCGTAACGCGTAACGCGTATTATATTACAAGAGTCCTTTTCTGTCTGCCCTATGCAACGCTTGCCTACGTTAGCATGGGTTTTCCAGTGTAAAACTCTTTGGCACTAGCATTGATTTTGTGTCAACTGACTTTCATGGAGCTCGTTTTCCCCACTTACAGTAAGTCCACCCGAACTCGTTACAAAACTCAAGAAAAGAGAAACCCTCCTGTATACACCACGCATACGAATTTTTGCATAGTTCTGCCGTAAAACTTAAATTTCATAAATCTTTAGTGTTCCACATTGACAAATTAGGATGTTAATCGAGTAATATTGCATTTTATTATACAAACACATTCATTAATGCAGTCCTACAGCTGCTACTGAGCTCTGTGGATGCTGCATTCATTGCCTGTACACAAACTGTGCAAAATAGCACCGAGTTAAAATAACTTAGCTTCACTTACGCAGACACGAGTATTTAAATCTACTTCATGGCCTGTTTAATTCTCTCTGCCCCCATCTTGGAGATGCCGAATCGAGTAAGCTTTGAAGGTTATTTAAAGAAAATTGATTGAGAAAAAAGATTGGGAACACTTGTGAGTTATTAACTGGTAACTCCAAAAATGTTCAATTAAAGAAATTGTGGTTGCAAAGAGTTGAAAGGTATTAATTTTTGTCAAATGATTATAAATGACTTTAGCAATTAATCTGCTTAATTGATCACAAGTAACCCATGACCTAGATTTAAGAAAATTATGGTTTAATGATCACCTATTATAGCTGGTGGTTTGGTGTTTTACAGGAGTCAGGTAGGAGACACCCTAAATAATCTAAAGTTATTTTTCTGTCTGTGAAGAGTTCACTGGGGGTGGAATCTGTAAACTGTTTTCTCATTGAGGTGTTTTGACTAAGACCTTCTATGTGTAAGGTTTGCCTTTTTAAATGTCTATCAGTCCTGATAATGACAAAACATGGCTAACTGCAGTTGGTTTGTTAGAAATATATGTAACAAATGTTGCTCTGCAGTTTGCTGGGATTCAAGCACAGCCATTTATAGACACTCCCAGCTTCACACTGTACCACTCACACAGTGGGGAATTCTGGATGAGTTTACCACTGTCTAGTAGGACTGTGATAGACTGTAGGAAAATTAAACACTAAAGGAACAAGTAATAGGTTTATTCCATGCTGAAAAGAGAAGAAAGGAAACACAACGTTTCGGCTGTGGAGACTTCCTCGGGTGTCAAAACCGATATGTTGTGTTTCCTTTCTTCTCTTTTCAGCATGGAATAAACCTATAACTTGTTCCTTTACAACCTATACATGCTGACGCAGCTACCCACCTAAATTAAACACTGTAATTTCCATAGAAGTGGTGCCAAGAGTGATCTGTTGTACGTGCAATTATTGGCATCAGTGAGAGCCGTTTTGGGCAAACTCATCCTCCCTAACTCTTTACACAGACAAGTATATGAAAGTATAAGCATGTATATCATAATAATGATTAGTGAGTTTGATGAGTGCAACTCTGCTCTGCCCCTCTAGGGATTTGATCAACGTCCCCTTGTGGCCTCAGAGCAAACATGGCACTTTTTCCAAGACACGTCAAGGTTTCATGGGAGTGATGTCACTTCCTGTAACATCTCAGTGCCAGTGTGGGCTGTTATAATAGCTGGCCTGACGGTATTAAATATAACTGCGACACTAAAATCTAGAGACATAATGCTTTTTTACAATACTCTATACTCTTTTGTAAATGTTGCCCATTATTACTATACTGTAACTGAAAAACGTTTTAGAATTTGTGTACACACTTAATGAAGTTTGGCATTGCATTCCCTTCCTTTAATAAAATGCAAAAGATATATTTTAATTCCTTGATACTGTCCTTTAATTTGATGATTGACATGAATAAATTAATGATTTAATATCCCATTATATGTGGTTGAGTTGGTTGGGATGGTTTGAGACAAAAATGTTCTGACTTTTCAAATGGAAGTATCTTATAAATTATTCCATGTGTGACAGCTCAAGCTGAATGCAAAGTATGATATTTTTTCTGATGACAAAAGGGGTATCTGAAGGTTCTCAGGTGACTGCCGTACCTCTGAAATTTTCACATCATCCCTCAAACAACCACTTGCAGCCTTTGGAAGGTTGCATTATAGTTCCACGAAAACAGACACTTATTGTCAGGTAGCTGGCAGAGATATGGATGCCTCTGGGATCTGATTTGCATAAGTGTGACTCACTCGGGCTCTTCAAAGAAACCTCGTCTGAGCCACGTCACCTGAAACTGTCTTCTTTCCCTGTCTTAATATCCCTGCTTAAGAAAAGGCTTTTTCCAGTTGTGAAATACAGCAAAGTGCTGTTTTATTGTATGAGTCATTGTGATGCCCCTCTTCTCTTTAAACCTCCAAGGCCTTTACTCTGGCTCCTGGTACAGGTCTTTCAAACATACAGTACAATCTATCGTATCAGTGCATTGTAATTTACTCTCAGATACCACGGTGTTTGTGCATTTGCGTAATTTCAATAAAATGAGAGGGAACCTCACATGCCCAGCCTCTAAAACAATTAAGAGTATCCTAGACGACAGCATGAATATAGTACGTGTAAATAGACTTATGTTTAATTTGACTTATGTAAAAAAAACATTGGAAAGGAACATCTTGGATGTATTTGTACATTACTCACTCATCTGTGAGTGGGAAAATTATAATTTAAACCCAGTTCTATTAGAAGATTTGATTATTTAGAGTTTTAATACCTCTTTTGGAGTTTAGCATGGGTTGTCTAATCTCAGTTTGTCCTTACTTTCGTGTCTCTTTAAAAACAGGATATTCAGGTGGGTCTCAATAATTCTACTGTATCTTTGCTGTTTGTCTAGAAAATTACTATTTTGTGTCTATAACATATAGAAATGGGAAGCCCAGAATCTTGAGAATCTTAAGATATGCATTCAGACCGATGCTTATTTTTATTCTGTTACAACTGATATGTCATACATATGGTATATTTAAGTTGTATGTGTATATTATAGTACATAGAGAATGGGCCATGATACATTATACGGGCCATCATTAACAAAATACAATCAAGGTAATATGACAAATGTATTTCAATGAAAGCTTCAATATGGTGTATTATATTAAATTACTACTTGGGAGATTTTAACAAAATAAAAACATTAGTTTAAAATACACTTAAGAATCTGCTTGAATTAGACTTTGAAAATAAAGACATGCCTGTAAATCCTTTGATCTCTCACAGTGCAGAGTGTTTTCAGTCAGGAGATTAACATCATTTAAGTGTACAAAGTAAAAACAGTGGCCAGTCACTGACAATGGAAAATGTGTCTGAGACTTGGCTTCAAACTGAAGACTGAATACTGGGAGTGTCAGGTGAAAGATGAGACACGGAAACTACAAAAAGCAAGGATGTCTGGCCTCCCAGCTTTATTGATTCTCCAATTACCTTTTATTGATACCGGTTTCACATAAACAGGTCAAGAAAACCTTTAATTTCTAGGTCCATTACCTGAAGAAAGGTGTTTCAGAGCAAGAGCTAATGTTGAAATCCACTTTAAAACTTGCCTCTTTGAGTCAGAATAAGGTGAAGCCTGTTAAAAGTACTAGGTAGATATTGGCTGGTATTTGCATTGATAGTTTGCATATATTGTTTATAGCTCCATTTAGCAGTAGACTACTGGATTGAATGACTTGTATACCCCACTGGCAGAACATTCATTGATAATTGTTCACTATCTCAGAAAGGTGGACATAAAATGAAGAGGAACGAGAGTATGAAGCAGAGACATACAAGCACATTCTGCTGCACTGCAAGAAATACTATGGGATTAGACACACATTATTTCCCAAAATACCAAGTCTAATCCCACACCTGCCAGAATCAGGGGGAGGAGGGAGGAAACTCAATAGAGTTGGCAACCAGTAGGAGATCTCCTGTCACAGCTTCAAGAACAGACAGTGAGCCTGTCTAACAACAATGTTTTATGTGATGTATGTAAATATACAGTAATGTTTGTAGTGTTAATGTCTAGTCTAGTGTTAATTGTATCTGCTTTGGCAAACTGTAATTAATCTGTCATACCAGTAAAGCCCTTAGAATTTGAATTTGAGTGAACACACAACTACAGTGCAACAATTAATCATCATCAAGGCAGGGGTAGCCTGTATTAGTGTAGTCCATCTTTATATTGTCTTGGTATCCAAGCTTCCAAACACACACACCTAAAGGACTATTGTCAGGATAAAGCCAAGAATTCTATGAATTTATAGAAAGAAATTTGTTTGCATAAGTGAAACAGATGAATAAGTATGAATTCAGCCAAACGTATTGTTATATGCCGGCCATTTAAATACTACAAAGTAAAACTCTCACAAAAAGGCTTCATGAAGAGTAAAGTCTGCAGCATTCCACCAAAATTGGGGCTGTTAAAAGTGGGTGGTAAATTGAAGAATGGCTTCTTTCAGTATGGGTGACATTGTATTGCAAAGGGAGGTCATCAATAACAAAATGAACATTTTCTAAGAGCTTTAGCGTTCCAAGATGCTCTAAAACAATTACGTAGAAACACCAACAGAAACAAAATGATCTAGTTACCTGGCTGCTTCTGTTAAACATATACAGAAAACTAGAAAAAAAAGGGGATTTATTTTGTAAAGGAAAATTGGAAGCTTTTCCATAATTAAATGTTTCTGTATTTTCCTAGCTAGAAAAACGTATCCACTGCATTAATTATGGAAGGCGTGTTGCGTAAAATATGAAAGGAAATAGCTGAGCGCACAAGGTTGTATCTAACACAAAAATTGAAATATTCAAGAAGATTCAATTGAAACAATTACAAGGAGATACGGTAACAGCCATGTTCTCTGGTTAATCTGAATGGAAATGAAATGGAAAATATTAATATGAATCCAATATGTAAGGAAGATTATTATTATTATTTTATTTATTATAGTACTTCTTTATTCTCATGGCTCTGAATTATCGTTTAGCACTGAAAACTACTCGTTTTAAGACTGAAAACAAACCTCTATGCCCAATTCTTAACCATTACATCAGTCTGGATTGTTCACTTGAGAAATAAATGTAACCGATCGACTGTTAACAGCAAACACAATGTTACTTCAAAAGTTTTACTCATGTTTTATTTAACAAAACACTTCACGACGCAACACTTCGTCAGTAATATCCTCGTCACCACATAATCCTACGCGCCATCTGGTGTTTAGCGATGGTCAAATGAAGAAATGCCTGAGGAGTTGTAAGAAATTATTGCCACATTAATTCAACTTAAATATCAGATATGTTTTCTTGCATTTTGCAAAACACAAGACTGTTGTACTGTAGGTACTGTATATTTATAGCATTTCTAAAAGAACCCTTTTACACCCATGGTTTCTGGGATCTGTAGTCTTCTTCTCCCAAGTGTTTCACGAACTACATAGAAAAAGAGGGTAAAACTACATTTCCTATCGTGCTCTTTGAAGCGGTGACGGGTTTCCGCTTTTCCTTAGTCTTATTTCCTGTGTTGTATTTCCTCCATGCTTAATGTCTCGGTGGATATTTAAAATGAACGAAACGCAGCGCTGATACAACGTCACACGTTTTAGAATTAAAAATACAAATTACAGGCATGATGTTACGTTTCATAGGCATGGGGATGTTCTCGGTTTCTAGGCCGATGCTGGTCAGATGCCGAAGGTGTTGTGAACTTCTCTCTCCTCAGATGGGAATGTTTAATGCGACGAGACTGAACAGAACTGCTTCTGGGAGCGAAAAACATCGCTGTTGCGACACTGATCACAGCTTTGCCACTCTGACGTCCAGCCCGTCAAGGGAGACCATGCTGAATAGCGACTGGAAACTCAGAAATGTCAGAATGCGTCTGCAGGATCAGATACCGGCCACAAGGTGGATCGCAAACCTTAGTATCAGGCAGGCCTCGTATTTGTGTGTCCACAGAGGGCGCTGCGACCACCGCTCTCAGGAAGGGAGAGGAGTTCCCCTGTGGAAACTCACGCCGGCTGTGATCTCAATGGCGGCGCTTGCGTACTGCCTTAAAAGGGGTTCCGATCCAAAAGGTAAAGATGTGTCCATGGTAAAGTTGCTTTCACTACAGTTTCTGTTATTATTATTGTGCTGATGACGAGAAAGAGTGTCGAGATTATACTTAACGTAACAAAGTTGGTTACGTTAAAGGAGTTTATTTCATGGTGACTAAACACTTAAACGTGTTAAAAGGACGATGTTTTCTCACACCTAGAGATACACTTCGTACACCACACCTAGGGATAATTACATATAAACATATAAATTGTATATATAATGATGAGGCACAGTTGTTAGTGAAGTAAAAATATGATATTAGTAGTATTAAGTACTAAGTAGTATTGTATTTCTAAAAGCAACAAGTATAAAAACAGTCATATAACCTGTTACTACTGATCATCTGGTGTAGTCTGAAACATCATTAAGCTAAGATGTGTATTTGTTATTTGACACCTGCTATCACCCTAAAATAATATGGCACCACAATTTAGTTGTGCCTCCCAATGGCACAACACATTCCCTGTGACAGTTATAACTACTGTTTCAGCAGTGAAGACGTGACGCTTCTGCTGCTGTGTCAGGTTTCTTGTTCTATGGTCATTTTTACAAGTATATCTAGATAACAATTAAATCCAAATGACAGCAACAATAATCCTGTTTCTGGATGTTTTCGTTCACTGACCTATTGATGTGATTTAATCCAATTCTGTTTCACCAGGAGACTCTTTGCTGGAAGCAGCCAGATCCAATAATGTCCAGGAAGTCACAAGGTAACCTGTAACCCAAAACAGGAATCCATATGGCCACGTTACCAAAATATCTGTCTTCCTTTCAGGAGGGTGATGTCCCACAGGCTGTCTGTTCCTAATGGTTAAATGTGTGCCACTGCCCCCCCACAGAGAACATCACCTTCCTGATTTTTAGTGTTTTTCTTTGTTACCCAATAGCTAGGAACAGGAGTTTTGAATCTTTGGAGATTTGATGTAAAGCATCTTAACCCTCAGAATAAATGTTGTGCACTGGACTGAAACCCACTTTCTATACAGCACAGGGTCTGAGATGCGTCTTGACTTTGTTTGGGCAGTAATCACTAGTTTAATCCATCCATCCATCTTCAAACCTCTTTCTCCAATTCAGGGCCCCAGGGGAGCCAGAGCGAGCAACAGGGCGCAAGGCTGGATATGCCCTGCAGGGTGCGCAGTCCATCACAGTGTGGACGCGCAGACACAAACAGACAAACACACAATCACACCAGGGCCAGTTTTCTCAGAAGCTGGTTAATGTGCCAGTATATCTTTGGTCTGTGGGGACCCACATGAACATGGGGAGAACATGCAGACTCCACACAGACAGCACCCCAGAAATTGCTCCAATTGCCCCAGCGCTGCAAGGCAGCAGTGCTAACCATTGTGTTACCACCTAAGTATAATGGTATAGACGGCCCAGTATAAAAGTGTTTTGCAAAGGCAGCCCATACAATTGCTTGTTTTGCTAACTGAAAGCTCTTTTCACAAGGGGCGCTGCGGCTGTAGGGTTCAGTATCGCTGTCTGTGAGGTGTGTTTCTGACACATCCCTAGGCCACTAGAGGGACCCCAAGACACGTCAGACAGCCTAGTTCCCACTGAACAGAAAAGGAAGGAAAGATGAAGAACATGATCTTTATGCAAAAACATTTTCACTGTCACCTTTCTTTAAAAAATCTTTCCACAACAGAAATGGAATTTTCTGTTTGCCTTTGAATCAATTAAACTAACAGATTTCAGATGCACTCAGTTGTGCACATAACAAACTAGTATCTGTTCCCTGGTTCCCCTCTTATTGATGGTCCTATTACTCTGTGTTTGGGCCTGGTTTTCTAGTGATGTTATGGTCAAAGATTGCTATTCCCTGGCTGCCTGCTTGTGGTAAGAGTGAGCCAAGTTGTTTGATAATTTAGGTTCATTTCTTGGTAAATAGTGTCAGTACAGTGGCATAGCTCTTGGAGCTGCTGCTTCACATATGCAGGTATCTGTGTGAATGGAGCTTGCATGTTCTCTCTAGGTTTGCAGGGGTTTTTGCCCAGGTGATCCTGTTTCCTCCTACCTCCCAAGACATATCGGCTGTTTTAAATTATTCCTTTTTCCCATGGTGTAAGGATGGACTGGCCTCCCACTGAGGGAGAGAGCCTTGCACTAGCCTAGCAGCAGCTATATCACCCTGCAGCTCACAACTCGCAGCCCGATGAAGCTTGGCAGGTGTGAGCCTGCTCAGTAGCTGGATAGGAGACCTCCTGGGAAAGCTGGAAGAGGTATTACTGGGACCACCAGAGAGCACCCTCACTCTGTGTGGTTTCTGATTCCCCAGTATTGTGATGAGGACACAATTGTGTAAATAAAGGCACCATCCATCGGATGAGCTGTAAAACAGAGGTCCTGACTTTCTGTGTTCATTAAAAATCCCAGGTCATTTCTCAAAAGGAGTAGGGGTGATTACTCCTGTGTCCTGGGTAAATTTCCTCCTGGCCTTTACCAATCAGGGCCTCGTAGGAGCAGTGCATTGGCTCTGTGGCTAAGGATCTGCGCCTTTGGCTGGAAGGTTGCCGGATCGTATCCCGCGGCCGGCAGAGGAATCCTACTCCACTGAGCCCCTGAGCAAGGCCCTTAATCCCAACTGCTTCGGGGGCACCATATAAATGTCTGAGCCTGCACTCTGACCCCAAGCTTCTCTCCCTGTCTGTGTGTCTCATGGAGAGCAAGTTGGGGTATGCGAAAAGACAAATTCCTAATACAAGAAATTGTATATGGCCAATAAAGTGATCTTATCTCTTAATAATCCCCATCTATGAACTGGCTTCATCATTCTGCTCTCCTGCCAACTGATAGCTGGTGTGTGGTGAGCATACTGGCACACTATGGCTGCTTTCACATCATCCAGATGGGGCTAAACATTGATGGTGATGGAGGGAAGTCCCCACTATCTGAAAAGCGCTTTGAGTGTAGTGTCCAGAAAAGTGCTTTATAAGTGTAAGGATTATTATTACAAGCAACGAGTGGATATTCTTCAGTAAGACCTCTGTAATATTTAAAAAGAAGAGTGGAAACGGTAGTCTTATTTAAATGCGTAGCTCCCCTTTCTTCTTCAGCCCATTAAGCCTGGCTGGTTCCGTGTCCTGCCTGCCTCAGAAGAGGCGACTGAAGAATGTGAGCCCCAACACGGGGAGAATGTCAAACACCGGGTCCCCCGAATAGGAACTCTTCTGGCTTCACCTGCCAGTGCGGGGCACACCTGCCAGCCCAGACTGAGGGCAGACTCGAACCCTGCCCCTCCGGCCCTCAGAGAGAGTGAGCCGGGCAGCCCCGTCACCAAGTCACTCACCCTGAACTTACAGGATAGGAGGGGGTAGGCAGCCATCTGTCAGGAATAGAGCCAGGGCCTTCGGCTGCAACGCTAGACTCCTTCATATGACAATCAGTCTGTCCGAACTGCAGTCGCAGTTCACGTTCTAGGTTTTTAACACCTTTAATAAAGGTATCAGCCTGACTGTCCATGGTAAAATGTTTGATTTGTGGGGATCCTACCTGGGTCATTTACTTCAGTATTTCTGAGGTTTGGTAACTGAGAAATGTCACACAATACCACCTCTTTCCCCCTGGGTTTCATTCATTCAACAGTTACATTATTCAACTTCTAAGATTAATCAGATATTTATAGAAGGAAAAATAGCTTAAAGTGCCTTTTAAACTCATGTTTAGAGCTGGCATTATTGCTGGGTTTTATTTTCTACCTGACCTCAATATTACCTCCTTTATGTAACAGTTTAACTGTCCTTTGTATTTTGCCTATCCTGATGTGTTACCATAAACTGATATCATAGTGTGTTGCATTATTCCCCATCAATTATTCTAACAAGAAAAAGTGAATCAGATGCTTTCAAATGGTTTATAAGAAAGGTGTATTATAGGAAATATATTGAGTCAAGGGGCCCAGACCCACACCTGCTTCACACATTTTCAGTTTTGATGTGCAATATTACCAGTGGACTTACAGGATACAAGTGGTGTAGTGAATGGGCAATAAGTAGAACAGGAGTCATGTGATTCTTGGCAAATAATGGCTGACAAGACCACTTAAAACAGGCAGTGAGTAAATTGGGTCAAATCCTACCGCAGCCCATCATTTCTCCCATTTGTCTTTGGAAGCATATTTCGTTTAACTTAGAAGAATCTCTGCTCACACTTTTATCAGCATCATTTCCAGTTCTTGTAGGAATAATGTAATTTCAGCCCTCAACTTTTTTTTTTTAGTATGTCCTTTGGAATCAGTTCCGTCTTCACCACATCGAAGCCTGAGGTGTAACGCAGACGTTTTGCCTCTGCCGCCGTGTTTATCGTTGCAGATAAGCAAAACGGAGCTGTGCCGAAGTGAAACGCGATCGTGCAGCCTGCGCGTTTGAGACAAAAGTGGAGCCCAGCCATTCCTGCTGCGGTTAGCTTTAGGTTACTAGGCGCTCTTGAAAGGTCACTGCCCATATGGTCATGGCACCCAGCTGCTGCAGAGCTCGGATATGTTAAGTGGTTTAGTTACTATTGCACAGGTTGTAACAGTTTTAGAAAGCAGGCAGGTAGAACGAAAACCTGTTTACAATAAACACGGGCCTTATGTACCCAGATAGTGTCCCTGAATGGAACAGAATACAGGAACAGAAGGGACATCTTCACGGGTGTGGGGAACTGCCCCATGTTTTAGTTTGAGGTGGGGCTCGACAGAGTGGAAGGGAGTTTTTATATTGGGGCGAACCTCATTTCGGCTCCAAGTAAGATGGGGTCAGAGGCCCCCTTCTTTTGCATCCTTTTTTTCTCTTAAAATAGACAGGGCTTGTTGCAAAAGGGTGAACTATTATGTTTATCATGCAGTGGGAGGATTAAGGAAAGTGTTTTCCTTGTTTGGCAGTAACAGACATGCTTCATTTTCCTATTTCTTCATAGCTGCTTAAAACCAGTCTGCTCTGTGCAGGCAGTTAACATGGGAGCTGTGAGCTTATCTGTCTCTATGTGTAGACAAAGGGTCTCCACCACCTGGGTAAATCCGTTTTTTAATGATCTTCAGGGAATGAAATCCAGTTTCCAAGCGAGGTTCAGGATGGATTCTGTTCCTTGACGGTAGCAGCTCTTGCCTATTCTGTCACACAATATATCCATCTTCCTCAGGTCCGATCCTCAATTACGACAGAGCGACTGATTCTGTAGGTCTCCTTAATTCAGCAGCAGCCTGAAGCCTAGACTTTAGGGTTTAATATGTCCATTTAAGCCTCAATTGAGCTCATTTAACTTTCCTCCTAAGGTCTTCATAGCCTGTAGAGTCTTCACAGTGTGGGCGGAACTCTGCAGTGCTGTGTGTGATATTTGTATTTACCTGATTAACATGTACAGTAATGTGGTAATTTGGGGTTAAGTACATTTTGGAAATGACAAATTCAAGGAGTAAAAAAAAAATTGGTTTTGAATATTAATTGAGATATCTGTTATGTTGTTCCTCATCATTGGTTTGCCCTTTTCTGTGGGATTAACGATGGGAAACACACGTGGTTTTGCTTTAACTGGAAAGTTATTTTCCTCTGCAGGCTGCTGGCTGAAGGGATCGACCCCAACTACCGGCACCCACTGGGCTGGACTGCGCTGATGGTGGCAGCCATGTGCCATCACCACAAGTAAGAATGGGCAACACCCGCCACTGATGTTCCTAATTTTTAATTGTTTTGTGTTCAGTTTCACTCTTCTCCCATTGTTTTGTTTTGGTTGTTAATCTCAAAGCCTGCAGTTGTAACACATGTAATAGATATGTAGGAGCCATCCCCACCTAAAAAGGTATTTGGTGATGGTGATGAAGGAGCAGTGTCATTTCACAACTGTAGTTTTCCACTGGGTTTAATAGACATGATGGCTCACTGGGAATTAGTCTGGATGGTCCTGTTTTCTTAGAAGTATTGCATTCAGATTGGTTACTTTCATACTGACTGGTATTTTGTAGCCAAATAAGCAAAATCTATTTTTATATCACCGGTAGCTAGTATTAAGCATTTATCATGTGTTTTCAAGTCCAACATTGCCATTATGAATTTGTTTCCTTAATACAAAACAACGTGCTCTTGTCCAGAAGGTGGCGAGGACAGTTGTGGGATATTGCCGTTGAAGCAATGGTTCGATACATCATATCGAATAAGTGCTTTGTGGTGGCGCAGTATCATTGCATCAGCTCTGAGGAAAGTTTAAAATAATATCATTTTAAGCAGTGGTGCACAATGCCAGTCTTGGAGTTCTGCATTGTCTGCCTGCTTTTATTCCACCTCTGCCCTTAATGACCTAATTCAGCAAACCATTACCTTAATTGGATCAATTTAAAGCTTTTCAGACACTGATAATTTAAAGAGATCCAGAAAATACGCTGGATGTAAAGTGACAATACTGTGCATAGCCCCTAAAGTGCTAGGGGCTAGGAGGAGGAAATGTCAAGATTGAAATAACACGGGGGCCCAAGCGCCCATCTACTTTTGATTTCTCGCGCAGCCCTCGGGCCTTGTGAAGTGCAAAGTGCACCTTTCACATCACTGAGTGCATTCATGAGAAGGCAAAGAGACACCCACCCCAAATTCAATTAACCTCCTCCATTGCAAACATGAAGAGGGAATCCAATTTAGGAACGTGAGCCACTGGTGCAAATCCTTCAGAAAAGAGAGAGTTACTGACACAAGTTCGGATGGTAAAGTCGCAGCCTCTTCAAAGGCAGCTGTCTGCCTTTTAGGCCGTTCCACTTTCTTAAATCTTTGTAAAGAAGGGATTAGTGATACCCTACAGCCACAGTAGTGCGCTACATACTGGTGGCACACTATGTCATTTGTAGTAAAGTACAATGGAGGGACAGCTTAGGGGATTCCAGAAAAGATACCAATGGCCAAGATTTTTGGGAAATATATATTTAGACCACTGTTAAGGCCTTTACCATGACAGTTCCCGTCAGCAGGCCTATGAATGGATGTCCATTTTTTAGTGTTTTTTAATGAGGGGATCAATTCATTTATCCCAGCGTGACAGCTAAGTCTTACTCTGCTTTTTTCATTAACCGAGATTTCGTTCTTTATGGTTTCCTTTCAGCCACAATATTTTGTGTTTGACTGAAATATGGTTTTCATGCAGCATAACGCTGTCTAGAAGTGAAAATGTTTACTCCAGTGACATAGAGATTTAAGACACTTCCTGTCTTGAGAAGACTTAAAGTTCATGGCTGTTGAATTAAAGTTTTTGGTTGAAAGATGTTTTTGTCTCAGGCTAAGCTGTTGTAATTTCAGTACTGTGTAAGATACTGTTGTCAGACATCTAAAAATCAACTCCTCTTACTGTGATCAGTCTTCATTTCTAAGCAGGTATCTCAGTGTGCAGCTCACTTGTTGCTTTTTCCAGTGTCATTTCATTGAGGCTTCATGGTCAATTAGTCAGGTGGAATAAGATTTCAATAAATCGTCTTGGTGAAGCTTAAAGTCTCTTTTCGCATTCTTATTCTATTCTTCTGGAATTGATTTAGTATAATTTAGACACGGAAACCACATCACAGGAAGGTGAATCACTGGTAGCTTATCCCACATGTTAGAGGACTATGGTGACTTCTTCACCATTCACTTCCATTGGTTATTACATTCATTAACCATGTTGAACCATTTTTTTAGATTTCTTCAAATGAGGAGTCAGTGTTCAAATGTAATTTTTGAGAAAGTCACCAACGAAACAGAAAATATCTATCTGACTTTCTTTACATACATCACTAAAATATTTTTTTACAGTCAATGCTGAAGAGTCAGTGTTCACGTAATTTGTGAGAAAGCCACTGACAAACAGAAAATAAATGATACAAACATTTTAGAGGGAAAAGGACTATTTCTGCGTATATCCCAAAAAATATTTTTTACAGTCAATGCTAAAGAGTTAGTGTTCAAATGTAATTTTTGAGAAAGCCGCCAACGTAATGGAAAATAAATGATACAAACATTTTGGGGGGGAAAAGAGTATCTCTGCTTACATCCAAAAAACTCTTTTTTTTTACAGTCAATGCTGAAGAGTCAGTGTTCACGTGTCATTTTTGAGAACGTTGTTGGCGGTAGTGGCAAAGAAAAGTTTAGGGATGGAGTAGCAACTAGCATTTGATTGGCGAACTCTCTCCTTTTGGGAATGCGGGATCGCGGTCCGGTCGTTCGCGCTGCTGCGTTGCCGGCAGGTCAGGGGCCGGGCCTCGGCCTCAGCGGACGGGTGCGAGGCAGAATCGTAGCGTTCGCCCCGACGGGCCGCGGCCCTCGTGTGCCGAGTTCGTGTGTGGCGCGGGCTTTGATGCCGTCCCTGACAAGCGGGAGTCGTGACCTCCTCGAGGGGCCCGGCCGTCTGTCCACCCTCCTGCCCCTGGCAACCCTGTCTCTGAAGAGGAGGGCCGTGTTTGAGGAGCTTTGATGTCGGGAGCGCAAAGGATACGCGGTGTGGGGAGGGACACGGCAGCCTCTGTTTACACTCTGAGCTGCGCAGGGCTGGAAGGAGACCCCCTGTCCTCTCTTTTTTTTTCCCCGAGCCCCTCGGGCTGCCTTTGACTCGGACAATGACCGGCGCTGGAGTGGAACGGTTGTTGACTGTTCCAAGTGACCGGAGCAGTGGAAGAAAAAGCTTAATTCTCTCTCCTCACTTGGAGAAGGAGAGGAGAGGGAAAAGGCCGCCAAAGTGCTGGGCTTTGGAGGGGGATAATCCCCCTCCGGAAATTGGTGGGAATGCTATCAGTTTGTGAAAAAGGTTAGGCCACTAGGTTAGGGATGATAAGGTAGCCGCTAACGGTTCCATTAATCGGTCGCAGGATGAACTTGGGAGTTCTCTGGCTGAAACATAGTAGCCTCCAATCTTGTAAAACAATCGCCATGCTCACTTTTTATTTTTCTTTGTTCAGCCCCTGTAAATAGAGCTTATGGTTCCCCTCTGCCACTGTTTGTGTAGAGCTAGGAAGAGCAGAGTGGCCACTTAGTCACATACCTGTTCTGCTGGGCAAGGAAACAATTGCTCAGAATGTAAACTGAGCCATTTCCTTTTTCTCTCCGGTCTGGCATGTTTTGTATACACTTGTCTTTCTGAGGGAAAAGGGCTTAGGAGATAAAAACCTGATAGACACCCTCCAGGTGTATCTGAACTACGTAAAATACAAGCACAGGATGCAGACGAGGCTCAGAAATGGCTCGAGTTAATTCTCGGAGAAGAGCAACAAGTGGAAATCCTGAAGTCAGTGAAGGACTTTGACAACAGTGTTTAAAGGGTGAAAACCTCATCCTAGTTCTGCTTAATTTTTCAGCATGTATATTCTAATGTTTTTCTTTCCCTGTCAGAGTCCAGCGATAGTGATTGACAGTAGAAGCAGAAAAGCACAAAGAGGAGATTTCTCAGGGCAGTAAAGTGCCCAGACTCTTCGAAACGTAACCAGTATCTAGCTTGGAAGACCACTGGATTTCGCCAGAACCAACAGAAGTTCTGATTTTGAAATAAACAGTATAATCTGGCCTCTCAGTGTGTGTCCGGTGACTGTTCAGCTGCTGTTCATATGGATGTGCGATTACGTATTTTTCTTTTTCCATTACCTTGGTTCGTACCACTCAGTTTCTTTCGCATTCTGCACTGCCTTCTCTCAAATCCCCACTATCGCCCCCTTTCTCACCTACCCCCTCTCCTGTCCCTGGGGTGCTTGGGGTGCCGCTGTTTGTAGAAGTGCTTTCCAGGGTCAGCGCCCTCCTCGGATCACTGCCCAGCCCCGCTGCTAACAATGGGCGCTTCCTAGCTGAACTCGGGAGCGGGGAACGGGGTCCGTGGGACTCCCAGTGGTAACCCCCTTCCCTGCCCGGGTCTCCTGGAAGACAAAGGGCAATACCAGCTCCGCCAACCACCCCCCTCCCTCCACCAGCCCTTCTCTGCTCGGCCCCATGGAGCAGGACCCCCACAGATGGGTTTGTTTGGATTCCCCAGCGTGGTCCAGCAGACCATGCCTCCCCAAGGCTAGGCCATCCCTCATCGCAAACACTGAAGCCCCCAAACAGGAGCACTGGGGCTCATCAATTACCAGGACGGACAAGTACCTTTACGAATGCCTGTATTGAAAATACTCGGGGCATCCCAGCGCAGTCGGGCTTATATTTAACCTCCCTCAGCCCTTTCTAACAGTTTTCTAATAAGACCTTAAGTGATAGGTTGACACATTCAGTTTGGAAACTTGTGGAATGAGTTGTGGTCAAAATCTAAATTTCTGCCCCCCTTTATTTTTTTACACAGACATTATAGGTTTATACGCATGTTAAGAAGTTGCTTTCAGTATATATGGTTTTCTGAATATAAATGTTTGAAATGTTGATCTCAACCACGTTTTATAATAGTGCTGTCTGAAAACAGATACTCATTTGTTTTTGCTCATTTGAAAAGGAAAGCTTTTAAAATCTAGTTTTGTGTTTGTTTATGCTGTACAGTACCAAAGATCTGCATAAAGATCTTTCAAAGCATGGTTTAGGAGTTGACAGTCCAAATACTATTAAACATGCACTTTTAAAATTAAAAATGTTACAAGTCAAATCTATGCAATTCAGCTTGGGGTTTCTCCTGTAATTCCCCTGGGCTGACATGCTGTAACCCCTAGAATAAATAAAAATAAAAGTGAGAAAAATGTAAACATGCCACGAGCAGTATCAGGGGATTTTCACTGGGTAATTTAAAATGCCTGTAAAAAGCCTCACAGCAGAAAATGTTAGGTTTACTAGGAGATTGGATTAATGTATTGGAATATTTGAAGTTACTTTTTTGATACCTTCCACTAAAATTATGTATGAAAAAATAAAGCTATTCTCTACCTTTTCATTTAAAATTTCCATAGGGCCATTTGATAAACAGAAGCACTTCTAGCTGCAGGAGCTGGGAGCTGAAATTGCATGTTTCCTACAACCCTGTCCACTCAAACAATGAGGGTTCTATAAAAGATGAGACTTGTTTCTATTCAAAACTACTTACTGTAAGCAGAATTATTACAGGAATCCATCACAACCACAAACTTAGCTTTTGTCAGGAGTGGATTGTCATGTGGCAGTTATTTAAACTTGTCAGTTTAATTACATAGCTTGCCAGTTTCCTCATTTGTCATTGAATAAAATGTGGTCTATTTATTAAAAGGTAGACCTTGTGAACTCCTTGTTTCCACATTAAAAAGCAGCTGTAAATCAATTAGTAGTTAAGCTTTCAAGAATTATTGGTAAATAATGACATATGTGAGCCACAACATTTAATGTCGTATTTTTTGGTGCGTGGGGGGAATTTTAATTATATAGTAGATTTAATACAATACAATAATTTATATTAACAGTGAAAAGGATCATTGTTTAAACTGTGTGAATTGCTGTAAACCTGCCAGTGTCACCCAGATGCTCCAAGCTGTTTGATTTGAATGAGTAAGTCTGATGTGGCTGCCAGTGGAGATGTTTGTTTTGATGTGGTGTTGGTTTCAAGAGCAGACATCACGGTCTGTTGTGTTTCAGTGAAGGTAGACGTGTGAGGAACTGCAGACTCCTGTGCAATCCCTTGGCT